AAAGTGAAGCGATGTCTTGGTTCCCAGCACACACGGCAAATGGAATTTCATCATTTTAGGTCTTATTCGTATGAACCTACTCTTTGCTTTCCATACAGGTGGGAGAACTAAACGACGGCAGTAATCAGTAAAAGAAATATATGATTCTTTCGGGTGCAAGACGTATGCACCACAGGTATATTGAGTGTACCATGTGTCTGAGGCCTAATCTCACAGAATAGCAAAAATACTAAAAAAAAAACCAGGTGAATTCAGACTTGTAAAAGGTTCATTCGCCATAACAGAACAAATGTTAGCAATATCGTGAGCACTTGGCTAGTCAAGGATGTTGCTTCTGCGTGGCACTGCTTAGCATGGGAGAGCAGAGCCTGTTAATCAGCGTCTTGCTGCCCCGCAATAAGGCGATCCGTGGCACTGTGTCTCTGCTTCCAGCACGGAGGAAGGAAAAAGGTAAGGAGAGGGCATGCCCAGCCGGCGCAGGGCGTAAAAAATGTGGCGGAAATGACATCATGGCGGCCATATTCAGAAGGCACAATGGCGGCGTTGTTATGGTTACGTGTTGCGCAGTGAAGCTGGTCTAGCAGTGAGCGGCCGCGGCTGGCGGCGGAATGTGTGCCTCCCCAGGTCTCGTGCTGAGCCGTGGCGGACAATATCTGTGCTCTGCGCCGCGTTATTGGTTACGCAGTGTTCGTCTGGCTGTTACATTACTCTTAGCAACGTTTACAAATCTCTTTGTCCATCACGGGGTTTCAACAGTGCGTAGAACAAGTGCATATCCATGTGTCGTGCGGCGGATGACGCGGATGAAGCAGCTAGTGTTCAGCGAAATGGCGTTGGGCACCATGACGAAGCTGAATGACGACGAACGCCTTGCAGGTCAGTGATGGTTGAGCAGTGCTCCTGCTTGTGACAACGGACGACGCTGTTGAGCCCAGCAAGACGCCGTGAGGACCATGTGCACATACGTAGTTTCGTGTTGTGTGTGTACAGTAACAACTTGCATGTGCGTATTAAAACACCTTTTCTGTTCCGCTTGGTACACTCTCCTCCAGCATTGCATGAAATCTCAACGTAACAGCAACCACGTTCAACTGTCCCTAGCACCGTGCTCAAAGTCACCACGGTCGCAGAATGCTGACGCAGGTGAGTTTCACGCGGAACACGGACACAGTGGCAGGACGCTGCGTCAGTCGCGTGGCGGAATGCAACCGTAGAAGGCGCACGACCGATCGTGTTGTCTGTACAGTTGCTGAATTAATGACGTGAAAGCACTCGCCGTTGTCAGTGCATCTAGCGCGCGTTCTTTCGTAGTTGCTTCGTTGTCAGCGAGCTGTTACTCTTTATTACTCGGACGAAGCGATTTCGCTGAAGGTGTCCCGCTGACTCTGAGTGATGAGCCCAGTTCCATTCGTTTCGGATCGTCACGACACACGCGCTGCGCAGCCCACGTGCTTTCCGAGCCGGAGAGGGAGTCGCGCCTTCTGCTTCGCATTCATATGTAAACAAGAGAGGAGAATTTGCCTACTCAATATGGCCGACTTCCGGCTTCATCGCGGCTTCACAACAAGTGACGTCAGGGCCTCTCCTTACCTTTTCCTTCCTCCGTGGCTTCCAGGGTATTTTTGATGGCATGATGGGATACGCAGCCATATACAGAGTTGCCAGGGGTCAGCAATATTCGCTCTGGTGTGTTCTCGACTGTGAAAAAGAATTATATGAAAAATCCAGGATAATTTCTGGCACAGATAGCTGTTTTCGTTGGCGATACATGACAATACAAAAAATTTCTAGGGGGTAGGCTAGAGCCCCATGAGCCCCGCCCTGGCTATGCCCCTGATGGCGACTATCACGTCATCATAACTTTTATTGGCTGCAACATGGTAATGCGACTCTGCTAGAAACAGTACAGTTGATAGGTCGCCTTCTGGGACCAGCAAGAAACCATTAAGCACCTTGTTGGGACCAGTACAACCAGCAGCAAACCAGCTGGTCCCATCAGAAACCAGAACAAACTGGCAGCTCCTATCAGGAAACCAGCAGGAAAATTTCACCTGCAGTTCCGACGTGCTTCACATGATGAACTTTTGTTTTACAGTGAAAGCTGTTATGAGATCATAACTCGGGTCACGCGCAGTTGTCTGCCGGCAGCACCACCGGTGTCCGTAACCATATTGCACGAAATTAGAAAAAACCCTAGCACCAATGATATAGCGGCACTCGAATCCGGGTCCGCTGGGTCTCAGCCCAGTATTCTACCACTGAGCCACACCCGTGCTTGAGACGTGTTGGCAAACTTGCATTAGGCAGGCTTGACGTCAGGAAAGCAATCATGTCAATACAACTTATAAATCATTTTATAACAGCGAAAGAACAACCAGTCGTTGCACAATGCGAATAGCGTAACAAGTGGGTCGTCTAATACTCCAAATCATTACAAAAGCTTGTTCTTGTTCCTCTATTAACAGTGGCGCATACCCACTTCAGCCATAATTTCTAATCATAGTGTTTAGCGATACCACGCTTCTCAGAAAAATGACAAAAAATAGCATAGCGAATGCCAATCTGCTACCTAAAAAAATTTATTAGTAATGCCCTAGTGGGTAGCAAGCAAGTGTGCTAGCAGTAGTTACCCAATGAGTGTTCTGAAAAGGCCCTGAAAGGCTGCTCATCTAGCTTTCGCTGTGACTGTGCTGCGCCTTTCACACAGGCCTGGCGTTTCCTTTTTTTTGATAGTTGCAACAACATCTTGGTGGTTGCTTAAGCCAGGATCATAGTTGTTGAGTTTACGAAATTCGGCGAGTGATAGAACAAGTCTAAAATACTATTTTTACAGGTTGGTTCGTTTATGTAGTGTAGTAGACTACAAGTACCAACGATGCTCTTCATTTTCATGTTACCATTACTACATGTTTGCAATACACAAGTATTATTGCTTCAGTAAAGCTCAGGTAAACTCTGGCCAGGCAGCCGCCATGAAGAGTTTGGTGGCCGACAAACCGCCCCTGCGGCAAGTGAAAAATGATCAGATAAATTCATCTACTGCTTACTCCGCATCATGAATGATGTCAAGAGCAGATGAGCGCACATCAGACTGGACAAGCAAGAGAAATGCCAACACCAAGGCTCAGCCTACCTTTTCGATAGGCAATAAAGTTCTTTAAAAAAAACTTCACTATAACTGATGGAAGGATTTAGCCAAGACTTTGTGCAAATAGTATATCAACCTTTACAGACCCTGTTATAAGGCTGCAAGTTCATCCGCTTGATTACTCCTGCTATGGCAATTCGTAGCTGAGACAACTAGATCGATATGAGGTTGTATCGTAATTTGGGCAGCACGTCAAGGTTTCACAATGGGAACCACTTGTGCCTTTTCCTTGTGGCACCAAAAAACCCTGCTGTTTGTGATAACCATGACTTATCTTGACTATATTATTTAAATACTTTTATCTTTGTTTACTCCCACATACACCTGCGCATGCTACATGTCTCAGGCGAGTAATTTTGAGCAACACTGAAATCGGTCCATTTAAATATTTTGGCTTGTATAGAACGTCTTTTTTTTTTTGTAGAAAAAAATTTATGAGTGGTCGCCTAGCCTTTCCCATGAAATGACCAATACGATGGGCTTTTTCAGCTGACTTCTGAAGTTATCTTTACGAATTTTCCGGATAACTTTTTCTAACTGGTCCCAATTTTCAAGGCAGTCAGTGTCGTCCACACTACAGAAAACAAAATTTTGTCTCTGGCTTCTGTCATCTATTTCGACTGACTTCCCCTGTAACTCGTCACCTTGTTTCAGAAGCCCCTTATTATATCTACCTGCTCCAATACCAATTTACTGACGTCATGCATGTGGTCCTGTGTGATAAGAAGGTTTTTATTTATTTCCATCATCATACTTTTGTGTGTTGCGAACATAGTTTCAAAAGCGCTCAACTTAATTGTTATCGCACCTGGCCGTTTTGCAAACTACAATTTATTTGCATAGCACCATCATGACTAGACATACTAAACACTTGGAGAATGCCATCAGGACTGGGGTTTTGTTCCACATCTCTGGAAAAGAGCAACTGCACAAGCAATTACGGCAAACTATTAAAAAAAAGCTTAAAGCGCCTTTTGGACAGTCTTTACCTAGACACGTTTTTCACTCACGGGAACAGTACTCACTACCGTGGAAAGTGGAAACCTATACCACAGGTGATTTCCACGCTCAAATTTTATGTAAGTACCCCTTTGCGAATCATTCTGCCCACAATAGAACAAGTGCAGAAAATTTTAGCATTGCTCCTTTTTCGATGGAGTTGGAGTTGTTTATCATAAGATACATGACGATTTTTGCACAATGTGCAGGTTTGCTCATAACTTAGGAGTCTCCTGGGGGAATCGAGAGGCAGGTAGGCAAATCTTTCAATCGAGATGGTTTTCATTAACGTTAGATACACCAGCAGCATATGGCGAGCTTTTTTTTATGTGGAGCTTCTAATTTACGTTTCGAATATCCATGAAGTGCAGCATTGCATCCAGTAAAAAAAGTTTTTGGGCATTCTACACAAAGCCTTTTCTACGCGTCTAGGTTTAGTGGCATAATGGTGCCCAAGCTGCCTGTGGCCACTGCGGCCTTCATTTCTAGCGAAAATTAGCACAACTGAAAATTTTGAGGTTGGACGGGCATTTTGGCACAGCATGGCACAAGTACAACTAATTTTACCGTTTCGGGTCAGCACAACGCTATTGGCACAGGTGTTGCACTCCATAACCAACACCTTTTGGGCCAACAGCTGAACACTGTGATGGTGGGATACTAAACAGAGATGACAACAAAGTGCATGCACATGGCTAGTGCTGCGACCAGGGCTGTGGGCAAAGAGGTACAGCCACCTCCCTCTTGGTTTAGCCACTCAGCTAGAAACTCTGCGATAGTTTGGCTTGGCTGGACATGTTGTAACCGTGTGAAGCTTTGATCAATGTAAAACATGGCAAAAAATAAAAAGGGAAACAGTAAAAAAGCTACCCATTTATTAGCTTACAAATGTTCGTTGTCTTTAGTAATAACATTCTATAGCAGCATGATGTGATCCAAGAAATTAGTGTTTGCAAGTAAAGCGTGAATGATGTTTAAGGCTGCAAGCCAAGTGGAAAAATTGCATTGTTCTTCTGAATTTTCAAATATATTTACAGGATCAATTTCCAAGACCAGAAGTAAAAATCACTGCAATACTATGAGGCATCACACATTTTAATTTATCCAAAATGCTTTATTATAAGGTGGGATTTAGAAAACAACAGCTCGTGATATGGTGCTCCACTAAAACATTTCTCACCAAGAGGTGCGTATGACAAGAAGAGCAACAAAAGGTGTAATTCACTGGCTTCTATATTACAAAGTAACTGGAGCCAACCATCAGCAATAAAAAGAAGCAAGGCTGTATTTAGAGAAAATAGAGCAATGATGCGACAACAGCACAGAAATGAGAGTAAAAACTTGCCACAAGAGACAATGTGCCGAGCACTTTTAACCATGATTATGAAAAAAATGAAGCACGTCCCTTGCTAAAACAATACCAACGAATGTCCATGACTGGCAAGAGGAAACACGGCCCCTTCCAACTTTTAGGGCACCACAAATCACCTAAGTATGAACTTCTCAATCAGTCTGCTGCTGAGCCACACACACGGTGTGTCCAGTCCACCCCAAGAAGAGGTCAGCATGCTGGACTCCCATTCCATCAGGCACTGATGATGACCACACGAAGCCTGGCCTTTCTCAGCCAAGAACGCTTTGCAGGCAGACCCCATACAGCAGCTGTAGCTGGCAGTGCTCGCACGCCGCCTTCATACCTGTAAAAGGAGCAATGAATCACTCTTGTAGTTAATCACTATGGCAGCAATAGAAGTCCATGCCTCAAAGTTTTTCCACTGTGCTTGCTGAACTGAAGTTCCAGGGGAAAACAAGTCTGAGCTGGAAGTGAAAGTCTGAATGCAGTAGAACCCCGAAAACACCGCTGGTACTAAAAATGTTTTTTTGTATATTTTAACACAGAAGAATCTCCGCAATATGAAACTCCAAGAAAATGCCCCACTTCTATGGATTGTCATTCCGAAAAGTTTCTACTCGTTACCTTCTGGTTCACAGTATACTGCCGAACATAGATACGTTGAACCCACATACAGATACAGAATTTTTCGTTGTCCCAAATTGTCCCAAACTCATAAATTATCCGCTAGAAGATTCTATGTAAGAATATACTAATTTGCACGCTGTTTGCAATACTCAGCGCAAGCCGCCTCTTCAGTGTTCCAAGAAGCTTCACAATTTCGATAGTAAAAACAATTCACAAACAGGGGTTGTGCTGAGCCAACGTTTCGACAAGCGAACTTATCTTCCTCAAGATTAGAAATGAACTGATTTCTTTAGCGCCAGCGCGTCTACACTTCGAGCTGAAAGGGGGGGGTGCTGTGACAAATTGTATGAGTGAAGATGGAGCAAGTGTTCCGTGACTAAAAATAAAATAGGAAAGCGGTGGGAAGGTGAGGATCTACAGGTGTCGCTGAATTCTGGTTGTCAAAAGGGTTGTCAAAGGTTAACAATCATCATCATCAGCCTGACAACGCCCACTGCAGGACAAAGGCCTCTCCTACGGTTGCTCACTACAGTTGGTATAGAGCTGAGAAACTTCAAAGGTACTCAGCCAAACCCAGGGCCTACCGTTCATTTTCGTGCATCAGAATTGCTGAGCTCTAAAGTTAGCACACAGAGAGACATTGCCAAGTAAAATGTGATGAAACCAAGCTCTTCGTGGTGCCGCCGTTGAGTTCCCAGCCACGTGAAAGTCCAACCAACACAGGAGGCTCCGATGGATCAATTCTCAAGCACTTCCCTGAGCCAGAAGCTTTCATTAAAGATGCGTTGCAAGCGCCTTAGCAGATCTTTCTGTCAATTCTGGTGCACTACCTTCATTCATCATCCTGCACTACGTCCACTGCAGGACAAAAGCCTCTCCCATGTTCCGCCAGTCAACTCGGTCCTGTGCTTGCTGCTGCCACTTGATACCAGCAAACTTCCTAATCTCATCTGCCAACCTACCCTTCTGTCTCCCCCTCACTCGTTTGCCTTCTCTGGAAATCCACCCAATTACCCTTAATGACCAACAATTATCTTGCCTTTGCGCTACGTGCCATGCCCATGACCATTTCATCTTCTTGACTTTGACTATGATATCCTTAAACCCCAGTTTGTTCTCTGACCCACTCTGCTCTCTTCTTGCCTTTTAAGGTTACACCTATCATTTTCCTTTCTATTGCTCACTGCATCGTCCTCAATTTAAGCTGAATCCTCTTTGTAAGCCTCCAGGTTTCTACTCCGTAGGCAACTACTGGCAAGATGCAGCTGTTATATACCTTCCTCTTGAGGGATAGTGGCAATCTACTATTTATGATTTGAGAATGCTTGCCGAATGTGCTCCGTCCCATTCTCATTATTCTAGTTACTTCAATCTCGTGAATAATAATGGAAGGTTTGAAATTCCTAGATGGAGAGTTTACCTAACAGTGGTGTGCTTTGTGTATGCACCATACCGAATGGAGCATACTCAACTTGCGAACAAGGTAAGACTATATTTCCTGTCTCCTGCAGACCAAAAGTCTGACTGAAGCTTCAGATCGTCGAATTTGTGTTCTGCTACATTGAAATGCTGTGCCACTGCTGTCTGTAATTTATTTGCTGTGCCCGCACGATGACTAATCTAATATTAACAGGTCATCCTGTTTCACCAGTGTACTGTTTATGACAAAATGAACATTCAATCATGTAGAAAACCAGAATTTATATGATAGACACATAATCACTATCGGTGTTTTTAATTATCATGTCGTCTTGAAGGCAAGTCTTGCATCTTGGACGGTGGCAAGGTGTTACTTGAGCAGTAGAATGCGAGATTACTTTTGCATGCACTAACATGTCTATAAAAAAAATTGCTATTATGGCAATACACGACCTTTGGTGCTTTGAGAAATGCTTTTCGAAGGTGCTCATTGCTTGCCACTATAGGATAATATTTACGAATGATATTATTAATGTCTCGGAGAGCACATTTGGATACACTTACGGGACATGATGGTAACAGTGACGGCGAAAATCCGCCGAGTGTGCCCATATATAATTGCTATCGCAATAAAGCACTTAGCGTGCTAACACTGTCTTATGGCACGACTAGATTATGTTTGGCGCTACTGATTCTTTCCTGAACACTGCTAACCAGTGCAACGATGAGGGGTCCTGCCAGCCCGCCAAGTCGCACTGAATTTTCGATGCCGTGGCATGTATTTCCATGTATTTAAGTATGGATAATGACTTAACTGCGGCACCTGCGGTCAAGGCTGTGTCATTTCAATTTCCCAAGCGTAATATTCAGCATTATATTCAGCACCATGGAGGCACACCGAGAACTCTGCTTTTGCGTCACTCGAAGCTCATAATCATTGTCTACCGCATATTACTTTGAGACATTGTTTAGTGCATATTTAATTACCCCACCAGATCACTACAGAGATTCAGTCACAATGCACATGATGTTGCATGTGGGCCGAGTGCCAGTGAAATTCGCATAAACAAGCACTTCTCATAGTCGACATCGCAAACGGTTCGATCGCTGCAACTTTTCTAGGCTGAGAAGGTTGTAGGCAACGTTTATAGAACTAGGTAAGTTCTAAAACTCCCCGCCTCAGATGACCCGTCACACGGCACCAAGACAACTTGCGGTTTGGTGGCGCTAGCGGCGCAACAAGCTTCCGCTAGCACACGAAAACGCACATTCGTCGTGGCAAGACGCCGTGGAGGCTATTCTGAAAGAGCTTGCCAACAGTATATTATTGGGATTTCTTGTTGTGCTGCCGCAGAAACCTAATACTGCGTAATATTTAGCGGTGTAAGGCAAATACAGTATAATTATGGCTTTATAAACTGCCCACGATAAACGATGCTTGACACGAATCTGTCCGTTAGATGCTAGTTGGTGTACGTTCACAAGTAGTTTTTGGGCCCGAAAAACTCAATTACAGTGTCTTGTATCCTCTCTTGTGACTGCGTTTCTTGCCACAAAGTTGTAAATAAATTACAACTTTGTGGCGCGATCTCGTGGCTTTTATCTGGTTCTGTAGTCAGCTTTTTTTTTTTTACATGTTAGTCACCTTCCTTAGCAACTTAGACCATCAAAAAGCTGCGCATGCGGCGCTTTTCTTAAGCATGTCTTTCCTCTGCTTCTTCTTGAGTTTCTCTAATGAAACCTGTTACCACAGCTGAAGCCAAAGCTTCGAGCAGGGACCACACTTTGGGGTATCCGTGAGCACCTCGTAGCCATTACTCACGAGGCTGCCTGCTCACGCATCGGGACAGCATAAACACACTTTAGTTTTTCTATGTCCTCCGGGAATTTGGCCAATTGTGTGATGGTATCTGCATTGCCGGGAAACTTGGCTAAGTGATGGTGACAGCTGCTAATGGCGACTGTCAAGTCTTCTGCGACAACTACGCATTTCTCCACAAATAGCGCTCTTTTTCATTCTTTAAGCACTAGAAGCACCACAACACGTCTTGTCTCACCATTCTCAACAACTTTCCGCCAGCATGCAGCAGGCAAACAAACGCTTGATTAGTCTATCGATTAGCCTATGTCGAGCTCGATTAGCCTATGTCTTGAAGCAAAATCATGACGCCACTCGTTGATGGCATTTCGGAACTCATTTCACCGTCTTCGAGCTCAGTGCTTGGAGATAGTCTATTCTTTTTCGCCGATTATACTCTGGAAAGTACACCACTCCTATCGGGCAGTTTTCACTTCTTTTTTGCGGGTTTTGAAGGTAAGCGGGCAAATTCGGGAATATCCGTAGAACACATTCTTCGACGAGGCCCCACCTTTCTCTGGTGATTTGTACCTTCTTACCATTGATAACACGAGTGAAAGTCTTCAGGATGTCCGGCCCCGCCGCGGTGGTCTAGTGGCTAAGGTACTCGGGTGCTGACCCGCAGGTCGCGGGCTCGAATCTTGGCTGCGGCGGCTGCATTTCCGATGGAGGCGGAAATGTTGTAAGCCCGTGCGCTCAGATTTGGGTGCATGTGAAAGAACCCCAGGTAGTCGAAATTTCCGGAGCCCTCCACTACGGTTTCTCTCATAATCATACGGTTTGGGGACGTTAAACCCCACATATCAATCAGATCTTCAGGATGTCCTCCTCATGAAAGTGCGTATCACACACCTGATGTGCCGAGCAGTTCCTTATCCGCACGAGGAATAGCGTGGTTCCATGCCTCCCACTGCTCAGGTACACGCAGGGCACAAAAAAAATTTCATGGTGTCTCTCATTTCCTGCAGCCATTCGCACAGCCGGGAACGCAACATGTGGGCATGATGAAAATGCACAACACATACAAAGCAGAATAGGGCACACTGAAGCACAAAACTGTTCTCACAGAAAGAAGCCTTCACAAATAGCGACGCACTACAACATGCACAGCTGATAGAGGTTACGGGAGTGACACGAGCGAGCATGCAGTGAGTGAATCCATATGCGACAGCAGCGCCACATTTGTCGCTGGCAGCGGCGGCACCATGCAACATCGCTCAGTTTCGCAACTTACCTAGTTGTAAAAACGTGGGCTGTGATGTGCTTCTGTGATCAAATGTTGCCAACTTTACATGACTTGCCACTACGTAAAAGGTTGCCAACACTTAAAGTACAGCGAGCATGATGCTAAGGTCGCCCTTCAGCAACTTCAGAATGCTTTCGAATTCCCTAATGTACTGGTTAAAGAATACTTGACGGTTCATTTTCTGCTCATGCTTATAGCTTAAAAACATATCTGATACATAAATATTACAACTATCAGATAAGAAAGAAATCCAAGGAAAGCTTTGTCTATTAGTTGTAATTATTATTGTCTAACAAAAAGAAAGCGCCCTTAAAGATTTCTTTTTCGTACAACTGATGCCAGGCCTTGGCAGCACTGATGTGGCCACAAAACAGCTAGCAGGACCCCCACCAACAAAAACTGATGGTCTAGTTAGAAAGGTAGCTGAAAGCAGACACACCAGACAAGTGCTGATATATGCAAGTGTAGGAACAGTTACAAATAAAACAACTTCACTTACACTGAAACAGCAGAACAACAGGATAAAAAAAAGTCACACAATCACAGTGGCCTGCTGAGCATACCCACACTTTACAAATTTTTTTTTCCAAGATAGCATGACTGACAGTTCACTCATGTAGACACTACTCTCTTATATCACCTGAGCAACCATGCTGAAACTGCGGGGTACACCTACATGTGCTAACAAGCTGTGCCAGAAAAGCTTCTGTACCATTACTTATGTCATTACTTATGTCATTGCTTATGTCATGAGCAAGTTCATGTAATCACTTTGTTCAGGCATCTGCCCATCTGGCCCTCGTAACAAGCAGCTGCACATGACAAGGGAATCCCATACACAAACTTCGAACACAGTGTGCCTGCTTTTCATCGTTGTGTTCTTTCGTGCAGTTAGAGTGGAGTGTATTTAAAGTTTCGAATTGTGGTAAAAAACTGAAATGTGGCCTTCGCAGCCACCAGGGCACTGAACATCCGCTTAAGAGGACACTAAAGGCAACTATTAAGTTGACGTTGATTGTTTAAATAGTGGTCCAGAAGCCTCGTAGTGTTATTTTTGTGCCAAGTAAGTGCTTATTATGAAATAAAATCACATTTTAGTGGTTTGCATCGGGTTAGCGCACTTTAATTTATCTGCCTCAAGTGAAACGTCGCACATCACTGTTGCCGTCACTATTGCCATGCACAATGTTGCCCGGCTTTACTGTGCAGCCATTGACGCTAGTAGCAGCAGAATGGAAGTAGCAGGAGTCATAGCAGCAACAACGGCCATTGAATAATTTCCTGCCGTGGCTTCCGAGATGGCAGACGTGCATGGTTCAACTGGGCCCCACTAGATGGCATGACTTGTCCAGTTTCAGTAGGCGAAAATTTAACTTTTGAACCACTTGCGCTATTGCCCTTAGTAGCGTCCAGCCGGTCTTTTTTCCATGAATCGAACAGAAACGAACAAGCAACATTTTATTAAGTCTTTTGATGCATAGAAGGTTCTTTGTTTAGTGGAGCTAATTCGATTACCAATAATTAATCGAAGGCGGTACCTCTCACATCATCGTGATCATCTTGCGAATGTCCTAAGTGTAGCGCATGTGTTATCATGCATTTACCTTAACTTCTTGGTAAGTAGGACACTGCTGCTGATAATATTGTTGTTTTAAATTTTGCCATACATTTTGCTTTCACGCTGACGTAAATTCTTATATAACGTTAGTGTTCCCTTAAATGTAAACAACAGTGCTTCAGTCTGATAATGGTTTCAAGTGGCTAAAAAAAAAAAACAGCGCAGGTTGGGTTTCCCTAGTACATTGAGATAACACATTGTGCAATTGGTTTACAAAAAGCCTGGATGAGATTTGATTGGATATTTCTCCATGCGGCCAGCTAACACACAGAACTTGCCTTTTATATCAGATTTTCCTGTCAACCATATAATCTTAAAGGCCAAAATCAGAGATACTCAATGGTAGGTAGAAAATACCATCATTGCACATTGTTTTACCACATTTTTTTCTTGCTGCTTTTTGAGCTGTGCCCTGTGAACTCCTGACCACTCGTGATGATGTACGTGCTGAGGAATTTTTAAAAATAAAGGTTGTTGAACTCCTGTGTCCAAATTACAGTATCTTCATGGAGCTGTATCAAGCATTAATGTAAACAAATTCAGGTGATATTTTGCAAAACCTCCAAAAATGAGTCCCCATGGCACGCCTGTTTTACCATCAGTGCCCTTCGTAGTACAGACCTTAGGTGGCCGCTGGTACGAGATTCTGGGTGTGCCACGTAGCCTGCTAGTTGGCAGTGTAAAAAGAGTGGTTGGATGCAGAAGTGGTCAGCTGGAAAATGAGGTTCCCTCCGCACCGGTTGTCTGCGGTGCCGTGGGCTGTGGTGATGGGGGCGGCGGCGGCGGTGGGGGTGCAAAGCCCAAACCTGGGCGCCCACGTGGACGCACATGTGCTGGCACTGGCAGCAGCACCCCTGCACCGACTGGCCCCAGTCCCCGACCAGGCTCCCAACCAAGTCGCCGGAGCAGTTGGTGGCCCACACTGGACTCTCCTACGGGAGCAGCCCTACTGCCGACCAATCCTACACACACACACACGAGTAGTGTAGCTTCAGCTCATGCTCAGAATGCACATCAACAACATTTGTACACGTAAAAGAATGGGGCTAGTGCCTTGATCATCAAGCCTAAATTTTCATTCACTTCTGTGCTTTCATTTTTGCCAAACGCAGGGTACAACAGCCAAAGTGGAATTTGGAGCAACTTTTGAAGCAGCAAAATAGTGCTTTTGGAGAAGGTGGATTTAATTTGCGGTAGGAAGACACAAACTATTTCAGCCCCAAAACCCAAATTTAGAGTAGTATAACTAAGAAAGCTTGCCTTTAGAACAGAAGACAAAAAGATGCCTAAACTATTCAACCTAAGCTAACTAGGGGACAGTGCAAGTGAGTTCTGCTGTTTCAACAAAGTAGTGTGTTGAACCCTACCTGTCCACACACAATGAAGTACACATGCTATTTCCAGCATCTGTCAAATTTAAATCACTTGCCAGGTGCTTCATTGTTTCCGTGAAATTCAGCAGTAGCATGTTGTCAACAATTATTACACAGAACTTCCACTTTAATTTTTTATATGTTAATGTGAGTACCATTGGTGCAATTTGAACAAGTTTTGCAGTTTTGGTGAAGCTTAGCACGTTAACCAAAAAATTTATCGAATGGGCGCACTGCCATTTACAACACTATACTCCATCTCGCCATTCAGCACTACTAACACTACGGGGTGTAAGCAACCCACACACTTGCACAGTAAAACGTAGTTCGAGATGTAATTAACATGCTGAATCACATTGATGCATTATACGTTCATTCTTATTCACATTTATGTCGTGTGCCCTTCATTGCTGTGTCAGTAACAGTCGCTAAATATGGCTACAAATTAACATCGCAGCACTCATGCAGACGTGACCGCCCGCTTTCATCAAAATTGACGCTTGTTCACTGTGCTGGCAGCAACAAATAACTTGGTAAATAAGGCGTCGCATGGTGGCATCTAACGCTAAGAACCAAAAATTACGTACATTGTGCTGTTACTTGCGAGATCAGTTGTGTGTTTAGCCATACCTGCTAAGCAGAATGTGCCAAAAATTTCATAAAGGTTCATAGAATTAGCGCAATACAGTCACGAATACATTGCTGTCTGAGCATCAGCACATTAATCTAAAGCAATTACAGCAAAACCTGGTTAATTCCAACTCCGTTTCTTCTAAATCCTGCTTATTTCAAAGGATTTTCGCAGTCCCGTATATTGTATTGTAAGTTTGAGTGGATAATTTGAAGCGGCGACTCACACCAGTCCGGTTAATCGAAAACTTTGGGTGCCATGTGCTAGTTTCAGATCCCGATTTCAGTGTAAGTCCGCCGAAACGATGACCCTTAATAGCCACAAGGCAATGCAACGTAGTGATACTGATGAGTGGTAGCTGAAGCATCCCAGCCTCGCTACTTCAAGCGCAAAAAAAAAAAAAAAGAAGAAGAAGAAGACGGTCTCGGGATCAACCAAAACATGTGTCTGCGGAAAATTGATCGTGCTTCACTGCAACACAGCGGTGACGCGCGAGCAGCATATTAAATGTTTCTGGCAACGTCAGCGGGTCATGGTTCACTCATTCTTTATAAGATCGTAAAGAAATTAATAAAGAACATTTTGGCAGAACTCGCGATGTATGCGAAAATCCGATTGCCAGTTGCTCCAGCAATTGGCGTCTTTATAGTGCTGGTAGAGTCTGTGCCAGCAACACCTACTTCGAAAACTAAGTTCGAAAGTTTCAAAGATTATTTTTGCCAGCCAGAACACATCGCAAGTTTCATCATACCAGCCATTATTAAATTCTTAATTATGCCAGAAAGAATGTGCGAATGGTGGATTGATGACATGCTGACGCAGCGAGGGGCAGGTGACATGCTGCCCAAGTGTCACTACTCTGTTGCAGTGAAGATGTCTCGTTTTCCACAGGTGCACATTTCAGTTTATTACGACAGCGTTTCTTTTTTTTTTTTTTCAGTGGCAGCAGTGAGGCCCACCGTACCCCCTTGTTTGCGGCAAAATTACGACCAGGTATTGTTGGATAACATAGTTCTTGGAGCCGCAAGCTAACCGGGACAGCAAACAACGAGCACTGATTACTTTGGACAGTTCTAAGCTCCTTGCATCTCACTTTTTGAATGTTCTGTTAATTCGAAAATCCATCTTAACTCGAAGATTTCTCGCGGCCCCAGTGATTTCCAATTAACAAGGTTTTAATGTACAAGCGTCAGTTGGTAACGTGTGGGTGACACAGCGCATGATGATGACTCCACAAATTTGAAGTGGAGGGCACCAGGTGCAATAAGCGCCGTCATTTCTTCTATCATTGGCATCACCTGTTCTCTTTATGTGCCCTGCACATTGGAGCAGAGGCTGAGCAGACCACACAGATAAACACGTGAGAAGGGGGCTAATGGCCCTTCCAACTGGCTAAGGTGCCCTGTAGCCTTCACAATGCTGAAGAGAACTTCTGAGATGGTGTATAAGCAGTAAAACTGGTAGTTTGAGAAACAGTAGAGAATCGTAATTACATATAGTTTCTGTTTGGCTACTTCAAATAGAATAGACCTTTTTCATAGGCCACAACTCTGTATATTTGCCCAACCAACGGTGGCACCAGTCCAAACCAGGGATGAGATAATACAGTAAACCTTTTATCTACATGGGAGCCGACAGGTGGAAACAATGCAGTGGGATGATCACGGTGAACAGTGGAAGTGCCTAAGACTGGCTGGCCGACGTTTCGATAGCAAGACCTATCAGAGGTCCTCCTATAGAAATGTCGGCCAGCCAGTCTGAGGCACTTCCACTGTTCACCCCGATTATCCCACTACAGTAAACCTTTGTTAGTTCAAAATTACTGGCACCACAAAAAATCTTCATATTAAGTGGGTTTACGAATTAATTAAACTTCATTCATTTGAATTAATGATACTGGGATGCAAGAAGCTTTGAATTACTGAAAGTAATCAGAGGGGGTCATTTGCTGTACCGGCTAGTTTACAGCTCCAAGGATTATGTTTTACAGCAATACCTGGTGTGTCCTAGCAATACATAATGCAATACATAATGTGTGTCCTACACATTGTAAAGCTGTCCTACGCTTAATCTGTGTCCATTGATTCCACAACAACTACGCTAGTTGGTATGACATCACGATTGTTATAGCGCGAGAGCAGAGTGATGACTTGTCCCTTCATCGTTGTTCTGCCCTCGCGCTATAGCAATTGTCCACTGTGGAACGTTGTCCAATAGTATTGTTTAAAATAAGTAACAATACTAAAAACAATAGTGAGAACCTAAAAAATAAACGAAAAAGTTTACTTGTTCAGCACGATTAAAACGAGGTCACTCAGCAACAACGTACTGTCATGCTTTGCCCACAGCACTATAAAATTCATAAGGTATGATTTTCTAACAACCACCATAGACAGAAGCATCATTTTCTTTTGGAAAGAAAAATTATTACCTTTTCCAGTAACGTAGTAATGTCAATGTCGACGCATTTCCCTAAAAAAGAAATAAAGACGAGAGTGCAAAGAATTTGACCTGACGACCTACAGCCCTTCCACTCTTCAAACAGTGTGCCAAACCACTATGCTTTTAAAACCACATAATGATAAGATCTGAAATGACTGCTGTATTTAATCCCATAACAGGCCCACCTCCAGTTTGGTCGCAAGAAAGATTTTTTTTTATTTCCATGCATAATAGGCACAATCCGAACTTGGTCGTCATCAGTTGTCTAATACCATATTTGCACGGTTGAAATTCAAGGCACCCTTATGTTAACTGAAGCAGAAAAAGAAAAAAAATGACTGTGGCAGTGCTGCGCGGACTTGCTAAGTCTGATAAGGGTGGTTGCCTGGCATTGAAGTAATTTTTGCACCATCGCTGAAACAAGCTTCTGCGTCTTTATAAAGTGCACCTAGTTTCCTGTCAGAAAAAGCATCGTCATTATTAGGTTTGCTACTTCGTCCACAAGAATGAAGGCTTTTCATCTCTCCGGCACAAACTTTTGCCTTTACAGCGACAATGCCGACTTGCATGAGCTCGGCGAACTTTTGTTGTTGTTGATTTCTCAGCCACGAACCTAAACAACGCATCACGCATGCTACTCTTGGATCAGTGTTGAGTTCGATCTTTTTGACGTCCAATCTTTATGTTCCCTAGTACAAACTTCCCAATACAACACATTGAACCACACCTAATCAGTGTTCGTTGCTTTTCGATGGCGCGCGTGGGCGGTTTTGTCGAAACCAATGTAACTTTGCAGTGGCTCTACTTGAAAGAAAGGGGGCATGAGTGGCGCTTGTAACACTCGGATGGTGGTCCACTATTCAATTGCAATGTCTTTGGACATAGGGTGCGAGCCCGTTGAATGAAGAATCGGTACCATTCAGCGCACAAAATACTGATCACAATAACGCACATAATCTCGGTGGCCTAAAACGTAATCGGCGAATCTCCGAATAGCGCCTGCTTTTCCTAGTTATTTCTCCTGCGTTCATTTTTTTTTTGGCAACACAGGTGTTTCGATGTTAATTTGGGAAACTTCAATGCTTGTAAGCACACTGCATCGCATGCCTCGATTCTCGAACATCTATGACTGCATGCTTAACCTGTTTCGTGCTAGTGTAGCTTATGAAGAAGGTTGTTTCGGCTGTACCGCAGATATTTGCGACTTTGGCAACGTTTGTGTATTCAAGATTTCTAAAAATAAAATGTTTGGACATTTTACCCCGTGAGATAGGCGCACACTGAACTTAGTGCTGATTTTTACGATTTTTACGATTTTACTGTACTGAGGGGTCCCCTCACATTTATGTTATAACTACGCTGACGGGGGCCCCACTACAGTAGTCACTGCTTTATGGTGACAGGGCCCGTCAACCTAGTTCCACCACTATTATGACGAGCACCCTCACTATTATGATTACACCACAGAATCAAACAACGGCAATGGGCCCCTAGTGTTTGCGATAGTACTGTAAGT